TTTTTTTTTTGGTATTATCTTAAAAGTACTGATCACTAATTAGAAGCATAACTCTCACAGTTAAAAGTAAAAGCTAGTTTTTTTTCTTTGAGTAATAAACCAAAAAAAAATCTTCTTTTTTTTTTGACAGAATTATGATTACTGCAATTAAGGCAACCCAGTAAAAAAGTTTTGCTAAAAATTTTAAGCAATTTGTTTTGAGCAGGATTATTTGTAGGCAAATGCAACTGAATGTGACTGTAATCCAAAGAACAAAAAACTCAACACTGACAGTTTACCGGCACCGCTTACCGGTAACTATTTGTTCTTTTTTTTTTCTTTTCTTTTCTTTTTACAGAATTTACTTAATTAACCCTGTATTAAGTCGATAAGATTGACGAAGCAATGATAAGAACTCGATTTTTTTTTCCTTTTGAAATTTTGAACTGTACAATTGGGGTTATTTTTTATTTTTTTTTTTTTGTAGTAGAAACAACAAGCGAAGTACCGCCGGCAACAACGGTATATCGAACAGCAAGAGAAATTTCTGTCACCTTAGAGCCTAGTCAAAATGCATTTGTCTATGTTTTTGAATTTTCGGCTTTATCACCAGTACTAAAAAGTTGGTTTTTTGCGGTAAGTTGCTTCTTGCCTTCTTTTTTTTTTTTTTTTTAAATCAACTATTTCAAAAGTTTGATTTATAGCGGTTTACTTAAATACTATTCCTTTATTCGCAAATTTATCGCAACAGTTTCAACTCAATTTTATGCCACTTCAAATAGACAAGCTGCTAATACTTTTAGCTACAAATTTTTTTAGTATAAATTTACAAAGAAAATTCCAAAAGTATTTTGATAAAAATTAATCAAAATTACAGTGTTTTACATAGACAACTATACTTTTATTATAATTAAACTAAGTCTAGCAACCTGGCTTTCCCAACATTATCAGTATTCGTAAATGAGTGCAAAAATTTTAGGGTTCTTCTGCAAATCCGTCAGTGACATACACGGTACCTAATCCGTGTACCGATTATCAGTTTCGAGTATTTGCGATAATGCCGACCAGTAACAACAACTATCAACTTATTGTTTACCGTTCAAGAGCAGTACCAATGGAACTTCCCCCGTTCTCGTTACAACCTGACCAGGTTCAGAATTTGACAGCAACTCTGAAGCATTACCTTTACAATACTCACTTTAATAATTTTATTTTGTTTCAGATTAAAATGGAGCAAATTGTTTATAATAAAGATAATCGAACAATTAACGTTTATATTAACTGGAAAAACCCTCGTGGTTATACGGATTCAGATATATACGGATATGAGTCACCGGCTGTTTATCCAATTCAGTGTTTATCACCTGAAGAGCAGTTGCCGACCCCAATTGTGGTCAGTAGCGTCGTATAACAAGTTTTCATGTTTTTGACAACTAAAAAGCGGATTTAAACTATGATTTTTTGTCTTTAGGAGACTTTTAGTAAGGGTGGTAGGCTAAAGTTAGTGTTACCCATTGAAATGTTGGAACAGAAATGCCGATTATGGTTCGAAGTCCGTATGTTACCGATGTGTATACGTATGGAACCATTTACCATTCAACAGACTGTTGAATTAGACTGTAGCCGCCTTCAAACGATTGATATCTGCAGACACAGTAAGTCACCAGTTTGTTTTTCCCCGTAATAAGCACTGTAAAATTTTTTAAATATTTTTCCATAATTTAAAAAATTTATTGTTTAAATCAATTTTATAATACTATTTTACTTCTTTGATGTTATGGTTATTTTTGTGCGTTAACTTTCTAGTGCGAACAAGTACTGAAGTTAAAAAACTTATACAGTTCGAAAAAAAAGTCATGAAAAAAGGTATTTTAGTAGTACTCAATAAAAAAATTAAAAAGATTTTTTTAAATGTTTTTTTTTTACATTTTTGTTATCTAAATATGTTTAGGTTTACCTCCACAGTGCACTGAAGTTGTTGATATATGGGGTGCCGGTAAAGATGTAACATTTATGTGGGCTGCTCCATCACAAAATCATCGGCCACTTTACTATGTGGTACGGTATGGACCTGCAGAAATGCATGTCAGTGTTCAACGTGTAAAATCTTTATGTTCTCAACAGTGCACTTATTCGTTAAAACAAGTTGCTATTCTATGTTAGTGTTTGTATGACAGCTCAATAAACTTACCATTTTAAGGGTGCTGAGCCAGTTGTAACCTGGGAAATTGTCTCTGAAAATGAAATAAAAGTTGACGGTGATAGCAGTCTGGTAAAAGTTATGGTTGAAGAAGACAAAAATTATGGTGCGCAAATATGTGCGGTGTACGATGAAGAAAATAGCAACATTAAATTTGATCTGGTCAAAGTGATACCATTTGCATGTTCAAGTTGTTCATCAACTTGTAAGTTTAATTACTCGTCTTTTTTTTTCTAATTTTATTTGTAAATTTGCTAGGCACTAAAATTGTACTAATTTTTGGTAGAAAGTGTAAAAAAATAAGTAAAAATTTTTTGGAATATTCAAGTGGAATGCTAGTTTTGGAAATGCTATTCAGTCTTCGTTAGCAGACCTTTTTTTTTTCCAGACTTTAGAAAGTCTCAAAAAAATCAAAAAATTACAGTGCGAAAAAGTTTTAGTAAATTTCTGTCTTTCTTTTCCTTGAAAAAGTCAATTGGTTTACTGTCATCAACTTTTTATCAATCAGTTGCATAAGAGATGTAGGCTTTTTCTACACATTTTGATGACCAGTTATGAATTTTCTTTGTACTCTATGATGTAAACTTGCCGGTTTCAGATTGCCTCAATTGTTTTTTTGGTCACTTTTAACAAACCAGAAATCATTATTGTAACTAAGCAGTTCAAACTGTCTACAAAGATTAATAGAATTTCAGAACCATTTTAGCTTTTTTATTTATGAAATAAAGACAGACCTCAATTGTTTCCAGTTTAATCATCATAATGAGTATTCAATTCAGACAAAAACTGTATCATTTCTTCATATCAGTGTCACTTAAATAAACGACTTTTGTTCAACAATCTAACAGTTCTTAACAATTTTATTAGCAGTTTTGGTTTTTGATTATTTGATAGTTGTAAAATGTAAAACGAAAGATGATTTTTTAGCTGGAAAGTCGTTGGAACGTTGTGGAGAATGTTCAAAAATTGAAAACCCAGATAGTATTCTGATGCGTCGTTGTCATCCAAAGGGCGGAATTGGTTGTGTTAAATGGCAAAAAAATGAAGATTCTGTGAACCCAGCAAATCTGTTAAACTCCGGTAAATAACCGATATACTTCAATGATACTAAAAAAGCAGTAATTGTTTTTAAATTTATAAGACAGATGGTAAACACTTAATTTCAGTCAAAAAAGATTTCTATACTGATAAACATCGTTTAACCACACGCTTGTAGCAATTTTTGTAATTACAATTTCAGGTTTAGAAACTTCTGGTGAAGCATTTATAAAAAACAATGAAGTTCTATCAACTGATAATAATGAATCAATGAACAATAATCTCAATATGACTACAAATTTGAATAAAACTGTTGCTAAATCTGTTTGTATTTTTATTTTCTTGTCAACAATCACTATAAAGTTTTCGCAGATTTTTTGATTAAACGAATTGTATACAATTAAATGTTTCTAATTTTTCAAACGACTTATTTTACTTTATTGGTGACATACAGATTTATGCGTTTCGTTTAGATGTCTTCAAATAAACCGCTAGCGAGTGATATTGAAGAAACCATTGAAAAAATGCTTGGATCTGAATTGAGAACCACGAACGATCATCTGTTCAATGATATTTCTGAAACAAGAACGACAGAATCTATCGGCACAAAATCTCTCCTGCTTACTACATTAGCAACTACTACAACTGCTATCACTACAAGCGACGATAAAGTTTTGTAAGAATATTTAAAGCTTACACTCAATTTTTGTCAAAAATTTTAAAAGAATAATGAAGTTTAGTAATTTTGTCTGTTTATGATTTTACTATTTCTAAAGTAGATTAATTTTAGTTCTGAAGAAACAACAGATAGTAGCAGTTTATTTGTTAGCACCTCTTTATCGGACGTTGAAGAAACCACAGAATCAGACCAACAGCCAGAGACTACTATTTTTACGTCGACAGAAAATGTCACTTTACCACCTCTAGAAAGAGTGTCGGCAGTAATGTTTGTAACAGTGAACAGTACAAGTCCTGTAATCAAAAATCAAACTGACGGTTTACCAAAAGCCAGAAAACATATCGAAACAAGAGTAAAAGGAAATTCGGTAACTGAAAGCTCATCAGACATACTGTTTATGTCTAAAAATATTGGTACAGGTTCAATTGAAGAGGTGCCAACCATTTTTGGTACACATGATGTTCGTCTGCACCAAGCAACATTTAAAATGAAAGAAGAATGTTTTCTTGATAATAATGTCATGTGCGAATTTGGATGTCTAACCAACATAAAGTTTGTCTTTTATCAGCTTCAAAGTTTAAATATTAATAACATAGTAGTAATTCTATTTACGATTTTGTTAAGAAATATATAATCATGAGCATTGCACTAAGTACATACCAATCAATCTGTGACAGTTTAAAGTGGGATTTCAATATCTTGCGCCTAGGCAGAAAAATTCCTTTAATTTACTACAGAATTTGAAAGCCATTCTGAAGCTCAACTTGGTTTACGAACATAATAATGCATTTTGAGGTGCTTCTGTCCACTGGAAACTCATGTTCCAACTGCAAATGGTGGATGCATTTTACCGAATACTGAACAGGAAAATAGCAACGCTTCTAACTGCCTTCGAGTGGACGATGTTAACGCCACATGGGATTCGCAGCTGACATTGTTGAAATTGAGCAGTACAGATGTAAGAATCATCATGTTTCATTACTGATTTAACCTTTCTGTCATTCCGAACTATCATAGAAATGCCGACAGGACTAGATTTTTGCTGTAACAATAAAGTTTTGAAAATAAACAGCAATAACTGGCAGCACTTTATAACTTGACAAAAAGAAACGCATACTTTCAGTTGTATCATAAAATTCAAGAAAATGATGACGTAAGTAAAGTGTATTTGGAGTTTGGTAAACTTGATGGTAAGGCATTATTTATGGATAGGAAATTGGATGAAGATGAATTACCAGACTATAATTTTGCTGATGATAAACGTTATAAGGTTGTTATCGAAGCAGAGGTACATTTTCAACTTTACTTTGTGCTAATTTTATTCTTTCTTTTTTCTGCGTTAATTTAATTTTTTTACGATGACTGTAACAAAAACTATTTAGATAAGTACTTTTTACAAATAATGTAAAAAAGCAGAAATGTCTAAAAAATAATATGTTAATACTTGTAACAATTTATAAATACTTTTCAAACCTGGGTTTACTAGTTTTTACCAGAATAAAAGTAGGCTAGAAAATTCCAAATTGTTTTTTTCAATATTGATCTGGTTTTTAGCTTTAAGTAAGATTAATAGCAAAGCGTTAGTTTTTGTGAAATGTTGAAGTTATGTTGCTGTTACTATGAAACTGAAGGACAAAATCAGAAGTTGCCGTTGCAGTTATAACCTTTGAATAATATCGGCACAATAATTTATGTTTATTTTTAGGAAATTATTCGACAAAAGTTTTTCATACAAAAACCATTTCCATTTTATTTGAATGAAATAATTGAACCGTTGACAAACGCTTATGGAATGCGTATTTGTACTTATAGCAGCAATTCACAGGCATCAAAGCAACAGTCAAGAAACGAGGATCTTGACCTACAATCTAACATCATCACTGAAAAGTACTTTAATGACTCTCAGGTAAAACTCTTCCAAAAAACGTACTGCTCAATTTTGGCCTATTACCATTTAGAAGGTCTTTTTCAGTTTGCTTGCTGCTTGTAGTTTTTGTTTACAAGTAACTGATTTCATTTAGTATGCAATAGTTTTGTTTTACAAATGTCTTCTCACACCGCATTCGTATTTTTCTATTACAACAATCTTTTCTCAGTCAGCTGCGGTGTTAATATTCTCAGTTAGCTGCGGTGTTAATATAAAAAAGTAGGAGGTAGTAAAAAAAAAAGAAAAAATAGATTTTTTTCTCACCATTTCTTTGAACGCTGATCGTACTCCGTTTCGTCCTATATTCAGAGCAAAAAAAGAGTGCTCAAAAAGTATTTTTCAAGCTGTTTTAGCAGCAGCTCAGAAGACAGAGAAAAGAAGTAAAGAGAGAAAAATGATAGACAAGAAAATAACCTTCTTGAAAATCTTATTTTGATCGTCAAATATTTGTTCTGTTTTTCACACATATATTTTATTTGCAGTTCAGTGAAGTTTTCAAAAATAATTATTTTTGTGTAGTTCAAGTGTTTTGTTTTCAAATTTTTTTTTCTTTTTGCTTCTTTTTTTTTAAGTCTAAAAATATTCTACAGTTTAACAAATAATGATCAGAAAATTGCTGTAAAGGTAGAAATTTTTTATCGTTTTTCTTGACCGTCATCGTCTTTGTCTATATCACAATCTATCAGTATATCTGTTCCTCTTTGCAGCAGCTTCTCCAAGTTAATCCGGTTCGTTTTCTGCCCATTTCACAAGCCTCACTTATGTCATCAGCCAATTTGTCACGATTATTTTTTGTAATTCCGCTATTTTTAATCATAATCCTGGTAGGTTTTTTTCTGTATATGATTTACGCAGAAAAAAGATTACACAACAGAAGTTTACTGTATCCAAATCATTATTTGTTTTCCTGTTTGATTAATGCTTTGAAGTGCAGAAACTTTTGAAAAAAAACAAAAGAAAACAAATAAATTATATTATCATTTACAAAAGAGCTTACTATTCATCAGTAAATTTTAGATGATCTTAATAACATTCGTTCTATTTTTTAACTGCTCAAAACTGAGGCATTTCTACGGTAAACGAAAAACGAAATATTATCAGACTTATATTGTCAACTCGACAGCTCCATTTAAATACCGAAACGAACCTCATAGTGGTTTTGTGATCTCTGCTACTCATCAGTGACCAATCTGTACATTTGTTTCTTAATTAAAAATTTAATAAAAATAAAACAAACAAACAAGCTGAAAAAGCAAGAAAAAATAAAAATAAATACGATGTTATTGTTCTAAAATAGCGGAATAATTAATAAAGTGTATTATTATGTTACAAAAACCTGTCCTACAGAATAACGGCAGTAACCTTCTGGTTTCTCGTACAGTTCCAAGAGTAAGTTGGTTTTTATTAGTTACGGAAAATTAATTTCTTTTTGATAAAGCGACAACAATACAGACAGTTCATCACATAAATATGACCAGCCAAAATTCTACTTTGTAATCAGTGATAATTCTTTAACCAGAAATGCATTACCTTTATCTGCAAACGAAGAACGAAAAAACCACTAAATATACCAGTATTCTTTAAGAGCTGTATGTAGGTTGATGCACATGCAATTCTTTCAAACACTGATAGAAAAACTAACAGTACTTTGTTTCTTCCTCTAAATGTCTTGTCAAAAATTGCTATACAAAAATCGCCCTAAATTCTTATTTGCTTTAAACAATAATAGTTGAGAACTTTTGAATTGGCACTGGCTGAGCAATGTAACTTAAAATAAACAATAAAAAAAGTAGGACTACAAAGCTAAGAATGAGATAATTTGGAGACAAATACAAAAACTCTGTTCATTCACCATCAGATTTCTCAATCCTTCGGTACTCTCCACCATGGCTATTGAGTACACGACGGTGAATTAGAGGCTAGAAGAGAATAATTAGCAAAAGATGACATAGTAATTGATATAAAAGCTCACTATAGGCTTATTTTAAGTGGACTGCTCTGTAATACAAACTGAAGTTTTATACTTTTATTTTATTTCTCGCCTGCATAAAATGCATATATTTTTACACCACCAAAAATAACAAAAATTACATTATCATCACCACTAGTACCATTATTATTATTATTATTATTATTATTATTATT